CCGATCCAAATTAGACCACGAACACCCCTAGTTATTACAATTAGTATTATAGCAGGTCGATTCTCGACCTAGTCTTGAAACAAGTGTGAGTTGTAAAAGTCTCACATTGTTTGAAAAAATCGAGGTTGAACACTTTTTAAGAGAACTCATAACTCATTGCTATAAGTTTTTGAGTGAATATATGATATCTCTTTTATTTATTTGGTTGAGTATTTAACCTTAAAATAAATATTTGACTTAATGTGAATGCTTCCCCATCAATAATATAGTTTTTGCCATCGTATGACAAAATTTGCAATCCACCATTATGCATAACAACATTTGTCCGGAAGAAAATCGACAATACTACTTAAAAACATATTATTTCCCCTCTTTTCTCCTTTGAGATTTTAATACATATTAAAAAAATAAAAATATAATTTTAATATAATAATAAGAATAATAAAATATTTAAATAAATTTTGCTAATAATACATATTCGTTTTACTTAGTCTAAAATTTTATAAAATACTTGAAAAAATTCTCAAATTATAAATATAAATTAATATTTTATTTTCTACTCTCTCCATCCTACAATAAGTGATTCAGTTGATTTTTTATATAAAATTAAAAAATAAAAAATAAAGAAGAGATAATGATATTTTTTACTAAAGCATCTTTATGATATATCAAAAATAATAAAAGTAATTTTAATTAAAAGATAAAATAAAAAAATTGTATTAAAATTAAAAGTGAATTACATTTTGAGATATTATTTTATTTTAAATAAGGTGGAACGGAGAGAGTATTAGATTATCTATTATTATCCTTTTATAATTTGATAAAGTGATTTATATAAATATTAAACTATTGAGTCTGTTGACTTGCTACGACTTTTGGTCTGTTTGTTGATCAAAATCAACACTAAGTAGAGTCGTTCTGTCCTGTGCATGCAGTTACGGAGAAATTTCAAAACATAGTTATATAATTTGTCTTTTTGCGGATACACTTTGCAATAATATTCTAAGAAATTAATCAGCCAAGCACATATCCAATTCAAGAGATGTGATGTGATGTGATATGCATGTGAAGATTGTAACGCGTTAAACAATAAAAGAATATGCTCATTTTGTCGTTTAACATTTTTTATATAAATTAAAAAATTTAATAATCTTGTTATTAGATATTTAACTTATAAAATAAATTTTTTTTCTTTTCTAAAACGATACATTTTAAAACAGACAAGTAGGTATATGTTCATTCAAGTGACTAAAAATAGAAGTCAAATTGTGATCAAGTCCTCCCAGTCACTCATTAACTTGTCTTGTATGTATCCATCTATATAACTAATATTATGGTTATCAAAATATACTTAGTCTCTAAATAAAAAAAGACCCATTTATATATTAAAGCTTGTGCACATTAAAAAACTAATAATAAAAATTGATGATTAATAATTTACTACTATAAACTAAAAATTATAACTGGTAACTAATAACTAATTAATAAAAGAAAATAATTGTTCTCATTTAATTTTATCTTAATTTAAAATTAATTATAAAAAACAAAATAGTGTTTTAGTTAAAATAATAAAAAAATAATACTATAAAATAAGTTTGTGATAAAAAATTGTTATAAATAGAGAAACAGAGAAAATAAATTATAAATTAGTAAAATAATTATAAGCTTGAGATAAAAAAACCCTTATCAAAAAAAAAAAACACACACACCATATATATATATATATATATATATATATATATATATATATATATATATATATATATATATATATATATATATATATATATATATATATATATATATATATATATATATATATATATATATATATATATATATATATATATATATATATATATATATATATATATATATATATATATATATATATATATATATATATATATATATATATATATATATATATATATATATATATATATATATATATATATATATATATATATATATATATATATATATATATATATATATATATATATATATATATATATATATATATATATATAAAAGCTCAAAAATTATAAAATCATAGTTAATTTTATAATTTCTTCAAAAATATTTTTTTCTTTCAAAAAAAGATGATTTACATGTTTTATATAAGTTTTTTTTTCTAATTTCTTTCTACCTACCATTATTCCACAAACATATTTCACTATATATTATATAATTATTTTTCTGATTTTTTTACCTTTATCTTTAATAATAAATATATTTTATGAAAATAAATTATTTATTAATAATGAAAAAGTAGTTTAATTTTATGAATTTTTTTATTTCTTTCAATTTCACAACTATATATCTTTTATACTTTATTTGTTTTTCAAATGAGAGTGTGACGAATGTTCTGTGTAAGTAGTTTATTTCATATATTTATTAATTTTATGTAATGTTTACTTTGAATAGTCAAATTAAAAATATGGATGATGTTTACTTGAATTCAAACTGAGATCCCAAAGTTTTGTACCATTTAATCAAAATATTAAATTTTAAATAAATCTTATATAAAAAATATTCAAACTATTTTTTTAAAAATAATTAATAATAAAATTATATGTTATTGATCCCATGGGTTGACATCTAATTGATAAAATATTTGCAATTTTTTTTGAAATTTTTTTTCAATAAACAATGGGATTAACTCAAAAGAGCACAAGGAGTATTCAAAATCCTTACAACAATCATCCACGGAAAATTACTTTCCTTTGATATAGCTAATCGAAGATGCAATTGAACAGAGATGGGAAGCCAACCAACGTCAAAACCAGAACAATAAAAGTTTGGCGTTACCCAAAGATCCTCTAATAGCATTAGAAAAAATATTTGATTTCTTATCTTTATCAAATCCTATCGACATTAAGTCACGCCACCAAATCGAATCTGTTTTACAACCATCGTTAACATCATTGCACATGACTGCCCTCCCAAGATTGAGGAATTGACATGCATACCTGAACTCGAGGATACCTTTTCAAAGAGCTTCTTCATCTTAAATGCATCTCCACTTCCATTTTAACAAGAGCGGCTTGTTGAAAGTAGATACATTCTTGATCCCAAGACCACCTAGATCTTTTGGTAAACAAACTTGCTTCCAACTAATCCAATGAATATTCTTCTTAGACGAACAACCACCCCACAAGAAATTCGACTGAATTTTTGAAATCTCTTTAATAATTAACGTCAGAGCCTTATAAAAAAGAAAGCGTGAAGATATGGATAACTTTCAGCACCGAGTTGATCAAGGAAACTCTCCCCCTTAATAGACAGGTTCTTACCTTTCCATACTGCTAGCTTACTTCTTAACACATCAACCACCTGATTCCACATTTTTATCTTCTGCAGACTATCTCCTACCAAAATTCCTAAGAATTTGAAAGGAAACGTACTCTTCTCGCAATATAAGAACGTTGTCGCTGCCTCAATGAAACCTTTCTTTAGGTTTACTTTGTAAATTCTACTCTTGAAGAAATTTACTTTAAGACCAGAGACCAATTCAAAACATTTGAGCAATGCCTTCACGCACCAAAGATTGTCCCAACTCCCTTCTCCAACTAAGACAATATCGTCTGCAAACTGGACAACATTGTGGGAAACACCTTCACTCACCTTGAAACCTTTGAATAAAGACAATTTCTTAAAGTGATTGGTGTCATCAATCACTTGATGTTAAGAAACTATTTTTTTTTTTTTGTGAAAGACAAAATGATATTAATAATAAGAAAAAAATTTAAACAAAATACAGTTGAATAAACAATTGGTATAAAGAGTATCAAAATCTACACTAGAAAATACAAGGAAACAAATAGATAAAAAAACTACAATGTGAAACACTAACAAATCACAAAAATAAATTTTGAAACAAACACCACCTTCAAAGGATTACAAGGATTACAGCACAAAGAAGAAGCAAAATAGATCTCAAGCCAACATGATCACCACCGCCGGATTATAAATCCTCAACGGAAGAAGAAAGGGTCACGACCCCTATAAGTTTGCCTAAGATCTCGATTCACCATTAGTTAATTAAAAGGATAAAATTTTGAAGGTAATTTGTGAAAGTGCAAGAGTTTTCCATTAACCTGTCCAAGAATATTTTTGTCCTCCACTTCTTTCACATTTGTCATAGTTCCTGAAAACATAATCTCATTTATAGCCCTCTAAATGATCTATATCACAAAATGTCAAATCATGAAAACTCCTTAGGCTTCCCCTACCTCCCAAAGAAAAAAAAGACATTCGAAGAGAAGACTATGATCCTAGGAAGGAATATCTAAACTTCAGCCATATGAAAATCATATATCAAATACTATTGACTAAATCACAAGTAATAAACAAGTGGAAATCTGACTCTGACAAATCACCACAGAAAAGATAGACAGTAAAAAATAGGGTCGACAATCACTTTTATCTTGAATAAGTTATTGCTAGAAGAAAACCTATCTAAGAGAAGTTGTCAAGAGAAAATAATCACCTTAAAAAAAGCCTAGCTGCTCCAAATAAGAGAAAAAAATGAAAATCCAATACAAGAGAAAAGACTTATAACATTATAATAGAATTCAAAAAATAGTGATAAGCACACGACACCAAACAATTTTCATCCCTAACAAACTTTCAAACCCACTTATCTCTTTCAAAAAAAAATTTAACCTCGAATAAAAAAACATCTTCATCAACAAATTCCTCATAAAAAAAATAATCTCTAACAAACACTCTCTCAAAAATAATCAATTATATTGAAAGCAATCTAAAATATCTATCTTAAAAGAGGATACTACCTACCCATAATCTATAAGAAGATAGTTTCTTTTTTGAGCTTGTTGCACTTATCTTCATCAATTTTTGTCTATTATATCAATATTCAACAAATTTAAAAATATCCATTTATTTATGAAAGTTACATGAAGGTGCAGTTAGCTTCATAATCATTAATTCCAACTTATCTATAAAAATACATGTGTAATTAAATTTCTCCTATATCATGGCTCTGATCCCAAGAACCAATCCACTTGTTCCCAATCCAACAAAAGCTCATGGTCAACATTAATATCCATTTGACTACCTTCTCCAACCTCAAGTGAGGATTGGCCATGCTCTACAGAAGAAGAGCACTCTGGTGAGCTTGTTGCACTTATCTGAACATCATGATCGCATGTTGAAGTCATCTGGTGCTCTTGAACATTTTGAACACATGGTGTAACCCTCCTTGGTAGTGGTCGTCTATCAAATGCCCTTAAACACTTTGATTTCTTGTACACTCGACTTAAACTAAACTCTTGCCTTAACTGCAATCAAGTAAATAATCAATATCAAATTTAAAACCAACATAAAAGATTACGAGGGTTCGAACCCTGGACGTCATCACTAGGGTTCGAACCTATTCTCATGGTTATATGTGTCAATTTCTAATGATTATTACCTTAGGACCTGATTCATCTTGAATGGCCTTATACTCATTCATTTTCCAATCAGTCTTCTTTCCATTCGGAGCTCTTCCATAATAAAAAACCATAGTTCTTTTCATACCGATTACGCGATTATCAGAAGAATAAACATGATTAGGAGAACCAGTGGCTTTCCAGTAACCAGTTGTTGTAAGACGCTTAGGTCTCCCTCCTCGCACTTCAGTCTCTTGCCTTGGAATGAAAAAGAACCATTGCTCTTTGTCTTTCATACTAGCTTCTCCAGAAATCTCTGAAAATCAACCAATAAATAACAAATGTCATTAACTTGTTCATTTCATATAGTAAAATATATATTAACATAATCAAATTGTTGAAAGAATTATGTATATGTATACGTGGGAGTTGTGATGGATTATAGTCGTATATATTAACGACCGGTATAACAGTTCGAATGACGCATTGTTTCTCTCCTTCAAGCATATTACGAAGATAGAAAGAAATCAACTCTTCTTCTGTAGGGTAGAACCGATAACCTGGTGGCATAATTTCCATCGTATGTTCTATGCGTTACTTGTGTAATGTGTAATTCTCATGCATTTACTTTGAATATATACACAAAGACAAGTCAAGAGAGTCAAGAGTCAAGAGTAGTATCATATTAATCAATTAGAATTATTGAAAAAAATTAGGCAAAGATGCAAAAGAAAAACTATACGAGTGAAATGAGAAAAAAGTTGCATGACAGAAGAACAGTCATGGTTTGCTTAGAAATTTCCACGCCACGCGGTTGTGAGGACTATATTCTATGTCCGTACCATGTCTTAATTAAATTAGAGTTCTTCCCGACATCTTTCCCACCGCGTTACCGCTTTTTACTATAGTCATGGTCTTATCACTCCTTATTTCTCAATATAATCATTAACCTATGTCGTATAACTAAATTGAGTAATTTATATTCTGAAAATGTGAATAGTTTGGAAAAGGTTTATATTCATTAAAAATTTGGAGACTTAAACAGATGAAATATTCTATATATTTATAACATTAAACTTTTAAGTAAATATATGGTATGTCATTCACAATAATGTGTTGTTTGTAGAAAAAATTTCCAAAATAAAAATAAATACTCATTCGTTTTAAATTCATGAGTTGATCCAACAATTCACGGTTATTATGTATACATGAGAATAAAATCTCAATCACTCTTCACTAATCTAAAATTGCATTATGGTGTGAAAACTCCAAATTTTTTCCATATTCAAAGTAAGAGGTGAGAAGTTTTATATTTGACAATTATTGTTGTTTATGTATTTTTGACTTATTTAGCTACATCTTGTGTCTTTCCTTGGTATTTTGGCCTTTTATACTATTTATTTTATATAGGTTTAATTACACGAAATTGATTTTTCTATTCTAAATTTAAACAGTTTTGATCTCTTCCTTCATGATTTTACACTTAAAATTAACTATTTTTCATTTTTTTTAAAATGACATGTTTTTTGTGATTCTTGTGAAACGTCACAAATAATTGTATAAAAATATATTGAATTTTATAGATAAAAATATGAGTTAGAAAACAAAAGTCTTATCGACTTTCTATGAAGTGTGTGTGTGTGTGTGTGTGTGTGTGTGTGTGTGTGTGTGTGTGTGTGTGTGTGTGTGTGTGTGTGTGTGTGTGTGTGTGTGTGTGTGTGTGTGTGTGTGTGTGTGTGTGTGTGTGTGTGTGTGTGTGTGTGTGTGTGTGTGTGTGTGTGTGTGTGTGTGTGTGTGTGTGTGTGTGTGTGTGTGTGTGTGTGTGTGTGTGTGTGTGTGTGTGTGTGTGTGTGTGTGTGTGTGTGTGTGTGTGTGTGTGTGTGTGTGTGTGTGTGTGTGTGTGTGTGTGTGTGTGTGTGTGTGTGTGTGTGTGTGTGTGTGTGTGTGTGTGTGTGTGTGTGTGTGTGTGTGTGTGTGTGTGTGTGTGTGTGTGTGTGTGTGTGTGTGTGTGTGTGTGTGTGTGTGTGTGTGTGTGTGTGTGTGTGTGTGTGTGTGTGTGTGTGTGTGTGTGTGTGTGTGTGTGTGTGTGTGTGTGTGTGTGTGTGTGTGTGTGTGTGTGTGTGTGTGTGTGTGTGTGTGTGTGTGTGTGTGTGTGTGTGTGTGTGTGTGTGTGTGTGTGTGTGTGTGTGTGTGTGTGTGTGTGTGTGTGTGTGTGTGTGTGTGTGTGTGTGTGTGTGTGTGTGTGTGTGTGTGTGTGTGTGTGTGTGTGTGTGTGTGTGTGTGTGTGTGTGTGTGTGTGTGTGTGTGTGTGTGTGTGTGGGTGTGTGTGCGCGTGCGTGTGTGTGTGTGTGTGTGTGTGTGTGTGTGCGCGTGCGTGTCGTGTGCGTGTGTGTGTGTCACTACTAGAAAATTTCATTTTAGCTACGAATTTAGCCTCGGCCACCGACACCGAGGCTAACTAGTCTCGACAAAACCGAGACTACTTAAACGCAAAAAAAGTCATTTTAAAGTTTTTCTCTTTACAATTATTTTTATTTAAGTCATTAGACATGGCTAGGCCGAGGCTATATATTTTTGAATTTTTGAATTATTTTTTTTAAATATTAGACACGGACTAGCCGAGACTAACTTTTTTAATTTTTTCCAATAATATTTATTTTATCTGATAGACACGGATGAACCGAGGCTAACTATTTCCCACTTGTTTTTCATGTTTTCCTCTTAATTCCTTTCGGAATGAACCCTAAAATAATTCGTTCACACTTTCCTAACTCAACGATTACCAAAACCTTCGCAACCTTCCATCATCACTCTTTTGGGTTTTTTTAACATGTTATCACGAAGGATTTATCCTAGTCTAGGAGTAGATGACAACGAACTAGGTGGTTGGATTGTTGATGGTGGTGAGTTGACTCCGTTGTGGGAAGGGGATGTTGATGGTGGTTTAATGCGGTGGGAATCGTGATACCAAGCTATTGATTAACTTGAATCTTAAATTCTTAAATTCACAACCGGTCTTTAATTTATCCAAAGGAAAGGTCTAAAGAAAGAAAAACCCTTTTCGCGATGTTACAACAACGCTAAGAGATGCGGGGATCGGAGGTTGGTTATGCATAGGGTAGGTATCTCACATCCTAAACATCGGTAGTACTCTACAGGAACCTTTTGTTTGCTTGCATGCTAAGTTTGTTAAATGTTTGCTAAGGATTTGGATTGGGTAAAAAGTGTAGGTTAAGACCTAAAGATAGTTTCTAAGTTTGCTCGCAAAGACGTCGCGTCCTTTGCCTACGTATCCTAACTAGGATAGAATCAGAGCAATCGTAGTTCACCTCACTAGGATTGAAGAACACGTGATTATGATCAAGGTTCAAAGGGGAACAAACATAACAATGTTTGTATAGAGTTTAATAAAACTCCCTAGATCTATGTTGTAACACTCAAGAGGGGAGTAAGTAATTATTACTATGATTCTTACATAGAGTTTACAAACTCTATCCTAAGTTCTAATTGAAGAAACACTCCTAGTAAAGGTGGGTTTTTTAGACTTAGAGCAAAGTCTAAGGGCTTATGCTAAGGTTCAAGATGACTTCACAAAGTCAAGGAAGCGGGTAATGAACTATCCATGACACAAGGATCAATGGAGAGACTTTTCCTTTGGAATGAGAGAGAGAGAGAGAGAGAGAGAGGCGACTTGGATGAGAACTAAAGAGTTCCATCACTTGGGGAAGAAATACTTAACAAAGCAATAAACAATTAAGTATGAAGAATAAGGTTACAACCAAGCAAACATGCATATTACAATAAGCAAGGATTAAATGGATACAAATGGTCACAACCAAGAATCATATATCTTAACAAAGATGAAGGTAACAAACCCAAAAGAGACATATTAACAAACAAGGAAACAATAATCATGCAAGTAAGTCATAACTTAAGATGATCATATTATAAGTTTAAATGTAACAACATTTAGGCATTGATGACAATCAAATACGAAAAGAATGTAAGACATGTTACAACAACTTAAGTTCAATATTTAGGAAGAGAACAACAAATTCATGGTGACAACCAAAGGAAGGCAAACCTAACATGTTAACTAACACATAGGAATCACATACAAATAAATCTTACAAGATAAGTCAAGCATGGTTCAAGAGAAATTCATCAAGATGCAAGGTGACGACCTAAAAATGAACCAACTAACAAGTGGTCAAAAAGGCATTGTAAAAACAAACAATTTGATATTTTATTCCATTAAATGAAAGTTGACAATAAAATGAACAAGTTGCAAAAAGAACGGATTGAAAATGATAAAGCATGAGAAAGTTGTGATTCATTGAAATTTATGAAGATAAAATAAAATGAAACAAGCAATAAAAAAGAAATGGCATGGGAAGGGATTGAACCCACTCCCTTGTGGTTTACAAACCCAACACCAACCAATTGGCCACAGCGCGCACGTGTGAAAGGAAAGGCAAGGAAGAAGAAAATGATAAAACAAGGCAATGAAAATAAAAAAACCAAAAGAGTTGATCCCCATGGATCGAACTCAAGTCAGGCAAGTAAAGGGGTATAAGGTGCGCAAGTTTCTACCACTGGGGTGGCTATACATCCAAGTACTTAGCCACCCCCATAAATAAATAAACCTATCTATGATGAAACTCTAGGCCAAAATGCAAACCAACAAAACCAAATGCGTGAAAGATCCAAACTCAATCAAAACAACTCCAAATTTGACAAAATTTAAGCCTAAACTGATTGTTTTTAAACAAGGATGATGATGGTAACAATCAAATTGTGAAATGAGGCCTCAAATAAAAAACACGATTGAAAATGCAAAGAGATCAAATGAGTTGCATAATGGAAAACCAAGCCAATTCTGAGTACACATACATCCAATAGGCCTTGCACACAAGTCATAAGCATGATAACAGATAGATTGCACACTTAGGGCTCAGTCACAAATCAATAAAATTGAAAATGGTTCATGATATGCAAACATAACATGAAAATGAAGGCAAACTGTCAAGGGTGTAGATGGAAAGGTTTAGATCATACATACATGGCCTATAAGTCCTAAACATGCTATTGATGCTCTTAAAGCTTACAAACTCAGTCAAGAATAGCTCAGGTAGAAGAAAGTAGTGGGATGACAACATATTGGTTATTGAATGATCTTGGTAAAAAAGTGAAGTTGCTTTCAAACAACAATAATAAATGACCTCAAACCAAAAAACAAGTTGTTAAAAAACTTAAACAGATAACAGTTACAACAATGTACATATGTGGCTAGTTCAAATGTAATAGGGAAGATCAAAGATAGATTGGAAACAGCAGCCAAGCAGCAGGCCAAGGCAAAGGGGCTTGCTGCCCAGAATTCAACCAAACATGGATGGAAATCAAACTTGATCAGAACAGAACAATTGAAGTCATGTAATTCTCAAACTAAACACTTAAAATGCAATGAGAAATAAGAAGATAACAATCAGTATGCTAAGCTCAAACACCAAACAGAACTAAAATGACATGCTATGTGAAATGAAAAGAAATGTGTCGCTACTGCGAAAATCGGCGTCGGA